ACTTAGTAAACAGCCTGAAAGTAAAGTGATGTAGGTATATACTTGAGTGAATGTGTGTTTTGTTTTGTCCAGGTATGAGTTATATGCACTATGCATTCTTGATATGACACACACACACAGGTTGTAGAGTGTCAAGGCGGAGATAGATTCTTGAAAATAGCCTACATTAAGGTGGCCCGTTGCTGTAGTGAAAGAGGACAACATCCACACCGGGCAAATATATGTTTGTGGAAGCCGGCGATACTCTGTGTGTGTGTGTGTGTGTGTTCATCTAAGCAACAATGTCTTTCCAGCAAAGACTAAAATTAAAGTGTCGCCTCCAGGCTTGACCTCCACAACCCTCCATTCTTTTCCTCACCTCCCGCCCCTCCTCTCCCCCCCACCTCCCCCCACCTTTGCTCCTTGCCCTTCCCCCTCTACAGTAGTCTCCCTGCACCTCTTACTTCTTCCCTGTACCTCATCCTATCTCGCCTTACATCCCTTGCCCTACATCCCTGTTTGCTCTATCCCTCACTCCGCTCCTTCTTCCCCTCACTTCCTTCCCCTCCACATCCTCCCCCCTCCCGTTGCCTCAGGGAACACACAACTTTCAGATTTCTTAAGTGGCTCGCTGGTGTAATCCTCAGGGTCCGTGTCAGCCTCACCCTGGTAAACCTTACTCGTTAACTTCATAAATAATATCTATCATCTCTATAACTAAGCACCTCCACAACCATTTATAAATCTTTAAAACTATTCTAATTATACATCTATAATATCTTCATAGCTACAGTATATTAACAATACAAAAGCTGATAGTTGTATAGAATTTGATTTGACTGAGGTACTTTAGTTCACAAGGTCACCCAGCGCCGCCTGCCGTCACCACTGTTCAAGCTCCACAAACAATACCTCACACTTCCTCTCCTTCCGTTCTTTTAATGTCATCTCCCTCCCCCCTACACTAGTTACTTACTTCATCGTTATCATAGACTAGTTCTCCTTCGTCCGTTCATATACCTTAAGTTACACTTTTGTCAAGACATGTATAGTAAAATATACTGTATACTAGCTACTGTCAATATGGGCGTGGCTGACACTCTCTACTGACTATTGTTATTGTTATTATTATTGTTGTTGTTGTTGTTATTATCATTATTTTTATTATTATTATTATTATTATTGTTATTATTATTATTATTATTATTATTATTATTATTATTATTATTATTATTATTATTATTATTATTATTATTATTATTATTATTATTATTATTATTATTATTATTATTATTATTATTATTATTATTATTATTATTACATTGACTTCACCATTATCGTACATTGACGTCACCTTGAACTTACTTGAGTGAGTTTCCCCACAGATAAACACACACACACACACACACACACACATGATCAGGCCAACGCCCATAATTTCATAATGAGATTTCATGTTAAATAATTAACAAACTAAGTGACAAAATTATTCTCTAATGAATTAGTTACCAAACGAAATAGTAGGTTAGGTATCAGTGGTCATGAAGTCAACAGCTCAATAAAGTATGACCTTTGACCTCCCAGAACTGTACTGGTGCCTTAATGTTATAGAGTAAACATTTAACCTTAGGGGACGAGGTGAAAATGTGTCCCAAAGGCTTGGTGACCAGTTAGGAGCTGGACGGAGGCTGTGGTACAGGTGAGCGTGGCGAAGGCGAACCTCTCACCACGACACACTCACCACCACACACTCTCACCACCACACACTCACCATCACACACTCACCATCACACACTCTCACCACCACACACCACGCGCTCACCACGCTCTCACCACCACACACGAGTCATCCTTGACAAAAGTAGTAAATATCAGTTTATCTTGTAATGGTCTCTCTGACATTGGTAGTATGACACCATTACCGTTATTTACCATGGTTAAGTGACACACCAGCGTTACTTTCCACCGTAAATGTCGAGTTCCGATGTCTCTTGTCAAGTGACCACAACTCAATGTCGTTTTACTATGACCATTGTCATTTTCTTGCTGTCTGGTATTTTCTCGTGATGATTGTTATATTCTGAACCAAATTCAAGATACCTCAGACTCTCAACTGGCTCAGCCGTGTTAATATTGTTATTATTATCCACTCTGTATATGTGTTTTTCTGGCTAAATAAACTGTGTCAATGTCAATACTACCAATGTTAGCCTTTCCCAGTGTTTGTGCTATTATTGTTATGTCCGACACATTCTCCCGAGATAAGTTGTGGAGGTACAGTCACCCACTAAAGTCTTGTCGCCTCTCCTCCTGATCCACGAACCCCGAGATTCAGAACTTGTGAATCCGAAGCATTTATGGACAGAATAGTGCATCAGTGTCTACTATACCTCGGGTTACGAGCCTCAATGTCAGGGTATGTGGAAGAACAGGACAGGTGAAAGGACTTTTGTGCGTGATTGTACACTACATTACAGGTGCTGCGGCTGCATTGGGTTAGGTTAGGTATATGTACTTAGTAAAAACAGATATGGGAGCATAGGTTTGTTAATACAGCGTTATATATTCCACGACACAAACCTCTGCCGCGAGAAATCCTTCGACTTGAAGACATGATTACTATGCACATCTCCCCGACGTGTGGTAAAGGCTGATAAGCAGTTACACAGCCACGATTACTGTCTTTATTACACAAGACGCGCCGTCCAATATGCGACCAGTGCCTGATCTTAAGAGGATATTTTTAAGGCTAGTGGGAGTGAAGATAGACACAGCTGATATGACATGTACGAACCTGTTGTCTTCAGTACTTGTTATGGGAAAAAGGTCACTGTCATTTTAAACATGTGAAGGAATATATCCTCAGTAACGTGATGGAAGAAGGCAAGCAAATGTATCCTTTTAGCAAGACTGATTAATTGATCGTAGTAATAACGTCCCAGGCACCGCAACAGCTTAGGTCATATGCCGCCGACCTTTCAGCAAGAGATATATTTGTCATATTTTGATTCACAGTCCAAGAAAGTGTCACGGAAGGCCTAAAGTCCCCTGCAGGGCTTAACACATTTCTCATGCTCGTTTCCTTGTCTCGTTGTACTTCTCTCATATTTCTTCCCATATGCGTCACTGCTGCTTATTTCTCAGCTTGTCCCTCAGTGGCATATCCGAGTATCCACTACAATTTCTCATCTCGGTTCTCACCATTAACTCCTCCTCTCTCCTCTTCAGTAACCATGTCTCTTTTCCATTCACCTCAGCCTAACCTTCCACGTCATCATCGGATTTTACAAGGAATGAAGAGCTTGTACTCTACAAACTCACTTCGCTAAGTACATATCTATCATATCTTCAGCCATGATGAAGTGAACTGAGGATAATTCCCTTAGCTTTCCGCTCACTAAAAATTTAACGACCATTTATGAACTACAGGAGAGGCCATTACCTATATGATGTAACTAAACCATTAAAAGGTTACGAGACCATGAATAGGGTGTGTCTCTCAGTTGCCACACACCGTTCTGGCCAACCGGGAGTTTAACCATAGACCTTACCTGAGATCTGTACTAATTACTACAAGGGAAAATTATACACGTGTACAATATGTCCAAATCTTCTTCTGCTTCTATGACATCACTCTGACATCACTCGACGCCATAGATTGATTTAATGACTCGACAACATATATTCAAGGTTCTGTGGTCAAAAATAACATCCTGGCCTGCCCAGTGTGTATCCAATCTTTTCGAAGGTGTTGAAGGTGTTGATTATATCCCCAGGTCTCGTGTTGAAAATATCCCTAAGTCTCGTGGTGAAGGTGATGATAATATCCCCAGGTCTCGTGGTGTCTATGACGAGACCTACGAGACCTTCTTAAACGAGATGTGTTGGGGTGAAAAGATAACATGGTATCTCTAGGTTTTGGAGTTGCCGATTAATAAATAAAGATCATTAACGGGCCCAGTGATGCTCTTAAGATTATTCTGGTGTGTGAGAAGGTAAAGGTTAATGAGGGGGAGGGAAGGGGGATGAAGAGAGAGGGGGGTAATTAGTGTCCCCGCTGCCTCCAAGTTGAGTCATTTAGTCTTATAAACTGTCAACACGGTGACCCCAGGACCTGCCACACAGTCTGGTAATGTTAACTCGTCTACACATTATTTAAAGTGTACTTAAAACATTCTTAAAGTTGTAATTATTTACTAATCTTCACTACATGTTTCGCCATTGTTGAATTTTATCGTAAGTTACCATGTCTCCGCGTAATTACTGTCAAACATTACTCTTAAATATTATAGAATTAAGTGATCATTCCTACGGCGTATAAATTGTCCATTTAGCTGTAAATAAACAACTAACGTTACAGTTGTGGAAAGTGAAAGCGATCAATTGCAGTGTCTGCCATACTGCTTCCTTGTACTGTTCTGTATGCCGAATAAAGGTTGATGTAAATTACACTAAATCCACACGATGCCTCATCGGTACTGTACCTCCTACGACCATAAGAACTACGCTTCAGTAAGTTTTATATGACGCTTACATCTACACCTCAGTTATTTGTTGTCGACACTCGCCTTGTACAATATGTGGAATACTATCACCAGACATCTTATCTTACTTTGTTTTTTAATAAGTTTCTTTCACTATTAAAGTTTTGGAATATCTTCAGATGAGGAAAAAATTATTTGAATATACAACTAATAATTGGGTTTAACCTCTTCACTCCGGGGACGCCACTTTAAGGTTTTATTTTCTAACGCCAGACGATTTTATTCAGCACAGAGGCGACACCGTACACATGGGGTCAAGGATTATTGTGGGTGGTAGTGCGAGTGTGTGGTTATAACTAATTGTGCCGTAAGTAACACACTCTTGGAACATTTAATAACACTGGCGGGATCGAATGTAATATAAGTCTAATGATATTAACTGAGAAAAAATTAGGATTACGAAAAGTAGTTAAAGATAATGTACATAAACTTGAGCACTGTAACTAATGCTTGAGTAAAAGTGAACCATATATTTACCTCTACAGAAGCAGCAGTAATACTTCTCCTCGTTATTGTCCAGAAGTAGATGAAGCTCTGGTGACACACACTCAATGTCACATTACATATAAGTAATAATAACAAGTTTCTGATGCAAGATATTAATAAATTTCCGAGTTAATATATTTTTGCTGGATATCTTTGGTTTCAGAAACAAAATATATCGGTGATTATTGTGGGCTAAATTATCGAGCCACAGTCCGCTAAGACATCTTCCACTCCACCAGACAGCACACCGGCGTCTGTATCTGAGGATGTGTGTCAAGACCGCCTGTACAGGGAGCCGTCACTCCACACTGCTCATCCGCCCTCCGTTGTCTGTCAGGGAGGACCAGTGACTGACTCACTCACGCCATCACTGCTACTGAGCTGCGGCCACAGCCAGTGAATGTCTCGGTGTGTATGTCTGCAAAGCAAACGCGCGTGTGTGTGTGTGTGTGTGTGTGTGTGTTTTCCAGCCAAAAGAGTGTGTAAATATGATGGCAGGGTCGTGTGTGCTTGTGTATGTGTGGTGGTGTGAGTATGCTCTTTAATACGTATGTTCCGGTACATGAATATGAGCTGGATAATCGGTATGCTGTGGTAGGTGGTGTGTGTTGTGGTAGGTGGTGTGTGTTGTGGTAGGTGGTGTGTGTTGTGGTAGGTGGTGTGTGTTGTGGTAGGTGGTGTGTGTTGTGGTGGGTGTGTGGTTGTGGTGTGTTGGTGTGTGCTGTGGTAGGTGGTGTGTGTTGTGGTAGGTGGTGTGTGTTGTGGTAGGTGGTGTGTGTTGTGGTAGGTGGTGTGTGTTGTGGTAGGTGGTGTGTGTTGTGGTAGTGTGTGTGTGGTGGTGTAGTGTGTGTTGTGGTGGAAGTGTGTGTTGTGGTAGGTAGTGTGTGTTGTGGTAGGTAGTGTGTGTTGTGGTAGGAAGTGTGTGTTGTGGTAGGTGGTGTGTGTTGTGGTAGGTGGTGTGTGTTGTGGTGTGTGTTGTGGTAGGTAGTGTGTGTTGTGGTAGGTAGTGTGTGTTGTGGTAGCGTCGTCGTGAACTCTCTCCCTTAATACAGTAGTTTACCATTAAATACTGGTGCTTTGTAATGTTAATCTGTAAAAGAAAACTAATTTTAATGATGGTCAACTCTTGTATAGGTACAGGGAGTCATTATTTGCTGATTGTCACTTACTTGTTTTGTTAGTCACAAGGCGAGGAGGAGTTCCTGTACAAGATGAATGACGACAGTTTTGCCCAAAGTAACCTAAAGTTTATCGAATAATTACGAAATAATTGCTATTTTTTATATAAAAATTCTGACCCAGAGGTAAATGAAGACCAAATTTATTGTTGTGATACTGGATTTATTGTAATAAAAACTGGATAGGCTAGTGCAGGACTAATGTATGTCCACGTTCGTTATCATATTACCACAGTATGAAGCCAGAATATATATACTGTATCCTCTTATCACAATATACCTAAGACAAACACAGAGAGAGATACAGTATCTCTCATAACATTCTTTTTTATCGTTGTCAGACTCGTGAACCCGAAGCAGTAGATTCATACATTATTCTATCCATAAATGCTGAATATTTAATGTGGCTTTTTGTGGATTGTGAATGATAATAACGTAACAGAAAAGCATTTACTTTTTTTAACAACTATTACCTAACACTACAGCAGAATTTAACACTTTTGCCACCAGAAGTTTAACTGCTACATCATAATTATGAGGTATTCTTGGACAACTACCTAGGCCATAGTACTTAACAAGACAATTCTAATATCATACAGAGTAGGATACGTCTTTATTATGTAGGGGTTGGAGTGGGGTGACTGAAGGGGTTGGGGTGGGGTGACTGAAGGGTTGGGGTGGGGTGACTGAAGGGGTTGGGGGGGTGACTGAAGGGGTTGGGGTGGGGTGACTGAAGGGGTTGGGTGGGGTGACTGAAGGGGTTGGGTGGGGTGACTGAAGGGGTTGGGTGGGGTGGGGATTGCTGAAAGGGATAAGGTAGTGGTGGGGGGTTGCTGGAGGGAATTAATATATATTATTACCATAAAGCGTGAAATTTAGCATCGCTTATTAACTCACTCAGGAGTTAATAAAAGATAAATGAATAAAGGTTGATAGACGTTCAACTTGGCAACTACTACACCAATAATGCCTCGTGTGACGTCATCAGCTGCTGGAATAATGTGGGATACGTAATCTATCTGTTTGATTTGTTGTTTATTTCATGGTTATTTTTTTATGCTATATGAAGACAAAACCTACGGGCATGACTAAAATAAATGCTTATGGTGTGAAGTTGTTCCTTAGATCACAGAGAGGGACGCTACGTGAGTCAGTTCTACATCACCTGGTGAGTTATTGCTTACAAGATGCAAGTGTTACTGGCAATGGAACGATATTAAAACTGTCAATAGTAAATCAAGAATTATGCCTCGTCAGTACTGGAACGAGAGTCTTGGTCTTGTATGTGAGTGAATCTCTGGTGCAGAGTAATATGCTACACTCTTATAAGGTGAAGTGAATAGAGCACCCAAAGTCCACCCAACTGTTAATAGTTACCCAGCTTTGTAGTTGGGGAAGTGAACCCGATCTAGTGCAGTGCCGGCCAAAATGTCTTCTTCTGTACCAAAGGTACACTATTATGGTGTGCGGTGACCGAGTGGATATGAAACTCGTTTCTGTCTACGCTCGAAGCACCCTCACTCGACCGAACAATGAATGAGTTCTTAACTTTACAGTTACATAAGTGAAGGTGGTACAGTGCAGTGCCGGCTACAATGCCTCCTTGGGTGTCGAAGGCCTGAAATTTAGTATCTTGTAAAATCCGTATGCACACTGCCCCCAACTTTACTTAGCTACAATATTACTGAACCAGCAGTTTCTGTTCATCACACAAGGAAGACATTGGGGAAGTGATTGAACAGGTAAGAGCTTCCTGAACATTGCTCTAACTAAGCCAACACAACAGTCCAGTAAATTATATGGAAGACAACGAGCAACACCAAGACGAAGACTCGAGATGCCAGGATGACGATCTCGTGGAGAGGCCGCAACCTTGCGAGGTCGAAGGTGACTGACTGTGCGTCATACTGGCTGACTCCAGCAGAGTTTCTTCTGGACGTCCCCACGGAGTTTCTTCTTGTCTCGTCTAGCTCCGTCGCCCCATTATCAGGACTATTAACTCTCATGCTGGTCATGGAGGTATAGTTGGACATGGGCATGTTGCCAGACAGTGTGGGAGATGTATTCATCCTCTTGCATCCTACTCTGGCATCCCATTCTCTTGTTCGATCAATAATAGTGTGAATGATGATGATAATGAAGATGAAAAAAATGCTTGACAGCAGCCAAACATCTACCATCTTGAAGTAGGAAGTCTTGGGCAGCGAGGAAGAGGCCTACAGGGAGAGGAAAAACTGTGTTGTATGACGTAATAATCCGGTACTATATATTTCCGTCTAAAGACAAAAAGATAACATTAACATTCCATCTGTCACAATCTCTGACCACACAACCTAGAAATGATAAACAAATGAAGAGTTTCAATATTTGGTTGATCTATAAAAATAGTCATCATCCTCTGCAACAGATGAGGGCTTGCAAGAGAGAATATTCTTTAGTCATGTAATAAATGTCTATTCCGGAAGCTGGCTGGAGCTTACCTGTGTGTAGAGAGTAGCCACGACGAGGAGGGAGGTGAGGGAGGCCAGAATGCGGACCTGGAAGTTGGTTGGCGTGAAGTAGAGAGTGAGGTAACTGATAACCAGCAGACACAATGACGGAATGTACACGTTCATGATGATGAAGCCTGACCGTCGCAGCAGCTTTACTGTAAATAACAACAAGAATAATCTAGTTAAGATCACTGGTGATTTGATTATTTTTTAATCTTAACCTTAGAGCCTCACAAGGATTACATAATTTTTATCAATTGGTCATCGAAAAAATAAAACCAGGCTTAAGGTACTCACACTTAATAAGCATGACAGCAAAATCCTTGTCGTTTTGAAAGACAATGTCAACATTCCCAACAAAGTACTCGACAAGTAGTGGGTTGCCCTGGAAGATGGCTGTAGAGGCAGCTTCGTTGAACACCAGGAGGCGGGAGGACGCGGAGAGCATCGTCAGCTCCAAGTGGCAGTACTGTATGGGGGAGATAAAGTAACTATAGGGGAGAGGGTACTGAGGAGTGAGGTGTTAAAGAAGGAGTGAAGAGGGAAAAGGGGGGGCAGGTGAAACATGTAAGGAGTGTGGGGCAGAGGAGTGGATATAAAGAGTAGATCAGAGGATGAAGTAAACTGTTTTAGTTTCTCTAAAAAATAGTTTAAAATGGTATACACAAATTATTAGCTGAAATACAAAGACAACACGGAAACTACTGAGTTGCCCACCATACTCAGGTGCACACTATACCTCACCTGTTGGTCGACGGAGACAGTAAGACCCTCACCTGCTCATCATAGGGGACAGTAAGACCCCCACCTGCTCATCAAGGGGGCAGTAAGACCCTCACCTGATCACCAAGGTCCTTACCTGGTCATCAAGGGGACAGTAAGACCCTCACCTGCTCATCAAGGCCCTCACCTGCTCATCAAGGGGGGCAGTAAGGTCCTCACCTGCTCATCAAAGGGGTACATCTTGAGATCAAACTGACACTGGAAGGTGACGCTGTACTTCCTCCTCACACTGATGGGGTTCTCCAGGCCTGAGTACACCTCCACTGCGGGGAGTCAGAGACAAGGATTATCATCACATCCTGCAGGAGTTTAGTTCACAGAGGACATTGTGTGCGTGTACGTGTGTGTGTGTGTACGTGTACGTTTTTGTATGTGTACGAGTGTGTATGTGTGATGCGCCAAAAGTCAGGAATGCCACACAATAAGACTATTTCATAAGCAAGAATACTTCACTGCTCTAGTGTGAGTCGTAAGAACTTGGAGACAGGCAATGATATAACAATCAAAAGTATGGCGTGTGTGAGCGGTTGAGGAGTGTGTGTTGGACAATGAAGTATGTTATGAGTGTGTCAGGGGTCATGAGTGCGTCAGACAGGGGAGTAAGTTATGAGTGTGCCAGGGGTCATGGGTGTGTCAGACAGGGGAGTAAGTTATGAGTGTGTCAGGGGTCATGGGTGTCAGACAGGGGAGTAAGTTATGAGTGTGTCAGGGGTCATGGGTGTGTCAGACAGGGGAGTAAGTTATGAGTGTGTCAGGGGTCATGGGTGTGTCAGACAGGGGAGTAAGTTATGAGTGTGTCAGGGGTCATGAGTGTGTCAGACAGGGGAGTAAGTTATGAGTGTGCCAGGGGTCATGAGTGTGTCAGACAGGGGAGTAAGTTATGAGTGTGTCAGGGGTCATGGGTGTGTCAGACAGGGGAGTAAGTTATGAGTGTGCCAGGGGTCATGAGTGTGTCAGATAAATAAGTATGTCAGGGGTCATAAGTGTATCAGATAAGTATGTATGCCTCACACTCCTCAGGTTGGGTGTCGTCTCCCAGGCTGGGTTTGCCCTGCATGCTGACGACCATGGTAGTCTGTTGGTCGGTGTGGGTGAAGTGGTTTCCCTTGGTGTTGGTAAAGTCGATCACTGGCACCCACACCTTCTGCATTGTCTCATATGGCACTCTGTGGAAAGACACATATAACACTGAGAAGACGCGTGTGGTACTATGAGAAGACACATATGACACTGAGAGGACAGACACATATGACACAGATGACAGGCACATATGACACAGATGACAGGCACATATGACACAGATGACAGGCACACTATAGCATATAAAAAATCTTAGTAAGGTAACAAAATGGTAAATAATAATACCTTGTTGGAGTATAGTTGTTTGTTCTATATATAACATGCGCTTCTACACCTAAGGGGTAAGTCCTACCATAGACAATATTTATTAAGACTAAGAATATTTTCATCTTTCTCTCAGTATCACGTATCACTTTCTGCCTGGAAGAGAGTTACATTATCTGGTCTAAGATATGAATAGTTTACATACGCAATAGTCTTAACAACAAGAGGCAGTGCTAGCATATTAACTGTAAATCATTAACATCAATACTGCTCAATAAACTTTAACTTTCGATGTTTTTAATAAAGTTTTTATTCGTTAAAAAATTCTCTTGACAAATTAACTACACACAACTTGAATTGATTATCACTGTCACCATCATAACGCAACGTAACGTAGCATAGCGTTACCACGGTGTTAATTAATCGTTTTATTAATATATAATACAACTAAATTCTGCAATTTCATAAAAAAGTTAAAATGTTCATTTTATTATTCAATAAATTTATATATTTTCGGCAAATAAAAAAACGTCAAATATCTAACAAGAGTTCATGAGTAACGAGAGAGTGTAGTCCGTTATATCGAGATCCATAAGATGTGAAACCTCCATATAACGGACCATAACCCGTTAGACTGATGTCCGTTAACTAGAGGTTTTACTGTACTGAAGATACTGTACCTCTAAAGAGACGCAGATAAAAGACTAAGTCTGGTCACCTGTTTAGTGTGTAGTCTTCATTAAGGTTGAGAAAACTGAGTCTTGCTTCTTGCCACGTCATGCTCACATTGAGGTTGACGTGCATGTGCATGGAGGAGGTGTGCACGGCGGCGCTCTCTATGGTCAAGTACAGGGTAATAGGGAGAGGTTGTGAGTTGTTGTTGTTGTTGATTTCTGGGGGCAGGTCTTGCCGATATACTGGGGGAAACTTCACCATGTGACATCCACTCTCGTCACTTCTGTCACGACAGTCAAACTTGAGATCACAACGTTGATGGAGAGGGATGCAAGAGGCGTCGTCGCAGGAGAAGTAGCCTGTAGTACAGTGTGTCAGCAGCAGACGACGGGTCTCACCTTCAGCTTGTCCACACATCGGCTTCTTGAGGGTCCAGTTCTGACGGCCAACTGGAACGCCATTTATAGCTTTGGACAAAGTGGCAATTGTCTGGTTGCTGCGCCAGTTTTTCCAAACCCACTCAGTCTTGACTTCGTTCTGTGTTATCTGATAATCCGAGTAACCTCGAAAAAAGACCTTGCCAGACTGGTCCTGTAGGGCAACTAAATGAATATTTCGTTGGTATATCTCACAGGCGCCAAAAATCCTCCAGACTGGTCGTCGAGGCACAGCACACACTGCACAGTTGAGTTCGTCACACCGGGTATCAGCAAACTGTTGGGGACCTACAGCCACGGCGCAGTTTTCTAGCTTGTCACCGTCAGGTTCAGTCACAGCCCAAGACGGGTGAAATAGTGACTTACTCTTAATGTCCGTCCAGACTCCTTCTTTTTCTTTATCAGATATTCCCACCCAGAAGGTGTCACATGATAGGTCGTCTGCTATCTGGTAACCAATAACAGCCTCCATGATAGTGTGGTATTCTGCAGCAGACTCTGGGGTTGGCACAGAGCCACCAATACCTTCACACACCTGGTAGGCCGCAGAGGCAGTGAAGTCACTGAGGACAAAATAGTCCATGCCTGAAGCTTCCGTACAGAGGTCGTCTAAGGATCCATGTGAAAGTACGATGTCTCCTACGGATGTCCAGGGACCTCGCCAGGATACTATGTCCCCTTCGGCTTCCTTGGTGCAGTCAGCTAGGGCAGCCACCTCCTGGGTTGTCAGCACGTGGCCCCATATATTAGCCTGAAAAAAAAAATATGTATGAACTGGTTCTATTGAAGGTGACACGAGCAGTCTTATACTTAAGCTACAAAGATATTTTAGTCAATCAGTGTATCAGTGCCCACCTGAGAGATTTGGCCACTGTAGCTATTGCCAGCATCCCAGGCACCAATCTTAACTTGTGTTCCTGTGATTGGACCCCCAAGATCGGCATGGTGAGAATCCTGCTCCACGCCATCCAGATATGTTATGGTGACCCCCTGGCCGTAGGTGACACACAGGTGGTGCCACGTCAGTGCTTGTAGCTTTTGCTTGAAGAAATAATAGCGACGGAACTTGGAGAGAGTGACACGGATGTAATTTAGGTTGATCTCTGAGGAAGGTGTAGAAAGATTCTGCATCAGACTCTCTTAGTGATAGAAAAGACGGCGTGGGAACATGAGGGGGGGGGCATGATGGAGGGTGGGACATGAGGGACGGGGAGACATGAGGGACGGGGAGACATGAGGGACGGGGAGACATGAGGGACGGGGAGACATGAGGGACGGGGTGACATGAGGGACGGGGTGAGGGTTACATGGGTGCAGGACAGATCATTGACAGTATCATCACAATATCAGTCACAAGTGATGAGGGAAATGATTCACATACACGGGAATTCAATAAACAAAGTGTTTTTGTATTACATTTTTAGCGCAAAATTGGGACCTTTATGTCTGGTGACACAACCTTCACACATATACCTGTACTTTCACACACACACACACACACACACACACACACCTTTACTTTTTTACACAACTGTCACACACAAATATTAACATCTTCAGCAACTACCACTCTTAAATACACCTCGACACAGACTCGGACAAGACACGTTCACTCGCCTGCCTGTACAGTGTGGACCAGTTGACCTGTCGAGTTGTCGGAGACTTGTAAGAATCCCGACACCTCCCACAGGTAGTAAAACCTTAACCTGACGCAGAAGGAGAGGGCGTCCAGAGGCATCAGTGAGAGTTCTTCATTGTACATCAGGTGACTGTTAGTGGGCTCTCCATTTGGCTGGAACTCGTACACATGCACAGACGAACAGCAGCCTGACGAAGGAGTGGATAATTATAATGTAATTTTCCGTCACTCAAGTTATTGTTGATTTATAAGTTAGGTTAGGTTAGGTTAGGTTAGGTCAGGTCAGGTCAGGTCAGGTCAGGTCAGGTCAGGTCAGTAAGCGTAGAGTAATATTATGTAAAAAATGAAAACAGAACAACATTTTTACTTGGTCTACAGAACGCTTGTGTAAATATTGATCTCATTCACCCCGACAGTGCGTGTGAACATTCTCTGTCTATGTTTACATTACTGTGTTCATGTAAAGTATCTATTCCCAAGTTGTGTTTACATGCCAAGGTGGTGGGGGAGGGAGGAAAGGAGTGAGGGAGGGAGACACATTGATATGGACGAAGGTGGTGCAGGAGGCAGGAGGGAGTGAGGGAAGAAGGAAAGGAGGGAGTGAATGAGAAAGGAGGATAGGGAAGGAGGTAGGAGAAGGAGGGAGGGAAGGCAAGCCATTACTCGGTCAATGCAGCACAGTTCTCTGGTTTATTACCCTCATCATTTACTGGTGGTGGTCGTGTGCGTCACCCCAAGTGTTCATTATCGTCACAACAAGTGTTTCAGCCTGAGTAAAGTAGCTCTTATGTCTATTATTTACTGTATATCATCTATTACAGGTTGTTAGCTGAGGTTAGGTTAAGTTAGGTCTGGTTGTTGTGTTATGTTATCTTAGTAATATAGTTCCTTTTGTCTTGGTAACGTGATGTTGAGTGAACCAGTTAGGGGCAGACGTTCTCACATCACCAGGTTTAACATTCCTCACCCAGAGAACAGCCAGAGATGATCTCCACCGCGTGACAAGTCCCCAGTGTCTCCCCAGGCTGGCTTCTTGCTGGGGTACAATTACAAACCATCTCCGTGAAATTGGAGACATCAGAGAGGCCGCTGGTCTAACATGGGTTTGTTTTTAGGGATTCGGGGGAGCTCAAAGCCACGAACTTGGACAAAGAAGCCGGATAAGGGAGCTCCCTGCGTGGCTTAAGTCTCTCGGCCGCTTACTGCTGTGCCAATTTAAGGTTAGGTTAGGTTAGTAATATAGTTCCTTTTGTCTGAGCATAAATGAATTGTATCGAATTTAGGGCGGTCTATTGTATTTCTTTCTATGTTACTTTAAAAAATATATATTAGTAACGTTCACTCAGCTACGAAATATCCACTTGAATTTATCTTATAAGTGATGTTTATTTATGGAATGTTGAGTGAACCAGTTAGGAAAAGACAGACGTTCTCACATCACCAAGAATAAGCTTCAACATCCCTCGCCCAGACCCCAGCCAGAGATGGCCTACCCGCGTGTCTACATTGGTTCAGTTCTCAGTATTATGCCGTGTGTTTGTCTCACTAAATAATGCATCAGGGGATTAAAGAGACTGCTACTGTTTGTGTTTATATTCTGCCTGACGAGGGCTTCTGTGTCGTGTTAACCTGTTGAATATTAGAGTTGTTGAGTGTGAATACATTTATACAAGTGGTGTATGTTTGTATAACTTGTCGTGTATTTCCTCTTATTCATTCCTATAGTCTATGTATTTTTCACAAGCGGTGCTTCTATTTGCAGTAGAGTAGAGTATTCCTTCCAAGTTGTTTAGGGGGCCAGATGAACGGGGTTAAATTGGTGACTCTCTCTCTCTCCGCTGTAATACAGTGCCTTGATAGTAAGGCGAGAGTGGAGGCTGGGTAGAGACCTTAGGCGTGAAGCAGTACTCCCGGGTGTGTCCTCTGAGGCACCGTATAACTAACTTGTCTCCCGAGAAACCCTTACGCTCAAGGACGTGTGAATTTTAACTGATTAAAACCGAAGTGTGTGAGTGTAGCGTTAGGCTCTCAATTAGCCCATCAGTGTCAATATTGCTACTATTATCGACTCTGTATCTGTATTTTTCTGGCTAAATAAACTGTTTCAATGTCAATAGCTGGAACACACTCAAGGTCATCTCTTTCAAAAAGGTGTTAGCGTCCCCCCCCCCCCCTCTCCTCCTTTCAGCCACTGCAAAAAATAAAATAAAAACAAGAGAAACCTTATTAAAAATGGTGTTTGTAGACCTCGACCCAGTGATCTCTTTTACCGGTCTACTATATTTTGTATGCTGCCGCCGAGGACATTCCGGGTTCAAGTCCCCAGTGTCTCCCCAGGCTGGCTTCTCGCTGGGGTACAATTACAAACCATCTCCGTGAAATTGGAGACATCAGAGAGGCCGCTGGTCTAACATGGGTTTGTTTTTAGGGATTCGGGGGAGCTGAAAGCCACGAACTTGGACATAGAAGCCGGATAAGGGAGCTCCCTGCGTGGCTTAAGTCTCTCGGCCGCTTACTGCTTTGCGAATTCAAGACGTTTGCCCACCTTCCCCTGTTGTTGATATTGAAACAGTTTCTTTAGCCAGGAAAACACAGATACAGAGTGGATATTGATAAGACTACTGACATGGTGGAGTCATTTGAGAGCCTGAGCTCTCTTAGTGGCACCTGATATATACAGTGCTGTTCATTTATCTCAAGGATTTATAACATTTAGTATCATCTGGAATAGTACACCTAACATAATGTTAGTAAGAGCATATCAGAATGTTACCACGATTATCACTTTTTATTTATTTATTTATTTGTATGGACATTTTTAATTTATACATTAGAGTTGATTATACAGTAATGTAATAGGCGATACAACATGGGTTGTTTTAGAACACACACAGTCAGGATTATGTCTTGACGGCAAATATAATTGTAATTATTGCAATGGTAATTTCTGTCTCCTGACCAAATATGATATAATGGTTTTGATGGTAAGGCAAGTGCCCTGTTTGTCTCTATTACTTTGCTAACGACAGAACTATACCCCGGTCACTTCATTACTCGAAAATGTTCACAGTTATAATCATCACAGTCCTCATAACATGAGGGCACATACGGTAAACCATGTTCAATTATTTTTCCTCGGGCAAGAGTTAATACCAAAAGATTGTCTTATTTATCAATTCTTGAAGGTACATAAAAATCTTTACCTTTGTCTCAGAAACAACAAGATATGATATTTAAATGGATGTGATAGAATGGTGGAAGGTGAACACAGGGAAGAGTTAGGTTTATGTACAGTATTTCTCTAATGTTTCAGGCAAGAGGGTAATGGAAGGCTTTATGGTAGATTAGGTCAGGTTAGGCTTGGTCAGGTTAGGTTAGGTTAGATTAGGTTAGTCTTGGTCAGGTTAGGTCAGGTTAGGTAAGGTCTTCTAAAATTACTGTCCTTAAAGATACTATAATATCTATAAGCACGATGGTAATCTTTAGCACAGAAAGAAAAAACTAACTGTTTCCCGAGTCAGAATTCGACATAAGTAACAGACAGTCTAAAGTTCTCTAACTATAAACGTGGCAGGTAATGTTTTCACTACACGTGTTATCCAGGAAAGATAATGATCCCTACACCTCTATAAACATAACAGGTATTTCCTCACTACACCTGCTTGATCGAGGGAGTTACCATATAAGTTAAATTCTTACAAAAACAGTATGACTATTTAAGACAGTTGAGAACACACTCTTATAAATATCTTTAACTTCTGAGGAGAGGGACGCCTTGGGTGAATAAATCTGTCAGTAACATTTGTCTTATGATCTCTTCCGTGTCATTTGTTGTTCAAAAAGAGAAGAAAAAGTATTTCTACAGTATTTTTCTGATATGATAAACACAACCATTATACGTTCCTACTATTAGACCATATTCCTGGTTCCTGCTATTAGACCACATTCCTGGTTCCTGCTATTAGACCACATTCCTGGTTCCTGCTATTAGACCACATTCCTAGTTCCTACTATGAGACCAGACGCCCTGAATGCTATAGAGGAGGAAGTAGTCTACTCACCCCAGAGACAGCTCAGCAGCAGAAGAGTCTCCAGCATCACCAGTCTGTCCATCTTGGTGATAGAAGCAAGTCAGGAACGACAACGACTTGGTGAGGAGCAGTTGTTGAGGGGCCGGTCACCGTGTGCAGTACGACGAGAGGTCAGGACAACAAGGCACAAAGTAGAACGATAAGTGATCACGTGATGACGACGGCGGAGAAAGAGAGATAAATAGATAGAGAGAGAGAGGAGATGGAAGTGTGTAAAGTACTGGAAGCAAAGTATTATAAAGTACTGGAAGCAAAGTATTATACAGAGAGAGAGTGAAAATCACGGACGTTGAGAGTATAGTGAGTGAGAGTTGTCTGGTGGCGGCACCGACGGCTAGAGGAAGACTGTAAAAGGTCGCTCGTGCAAGACAGCTTAGCAATACTACCATTTTCTGTGTAAATGTTGAGTTTTCATGTATTTCCATGTATCCTGTACTAAGCTAGTTGCTACAATATTAGTACAACATTGAAGTGAATCACAAAAATATAAGGATAATATTATATAGTTTTGTCTTTTTTTTTATCAGTTTAAAAAAAATATATCATTTTTTTTCACAATTGATTGACACTGATGACGACAGAGCTTAGAAGTGTTGCTTCAGAGGTTCATGACCTGATGTGTGTTCCTTACCATCAACTCATTCATATGGGATAATTGTCTTCATGAACAGAAAAGGAAAAGTTTCATATGTACATAGAATACTTTCATTGGAAAAACAAAAATGAATTTACGAAATACATGATTCGTATCTCTAAAGCTCATGAAATTACAAGAGAGAGAGACACACAATCGAAGTCTTCTACAGTTATGAGAAGGTTCATTTAGTCCCATGAAGCTCCAACACCTGCTTTTAGATGGTTTATGAATCAGTGTCATGAATTACAAGTGTCAGTTTAGTTGCCGCTGTTGTCGTTGGTGAGAGAATATAAGACCAATAGGTAAGTGGTGATCAACGCAGGTTATATTTGTTGAGGTTAATGTGTTAAATATGGGGATGTTGTGAGCTGGAGCTGACTCTCACCATAATACAACAAACTGCTAAAACAATATAGTATTATCTTATTCCCCTTCACTAAAACTCCTACTTATCACTCCACGAAAAACAACAAAATTTTCTCAAGAACTTACTTGGGGGAATTCATAGACATATTGTTATAGTTAAATGAGGAATAAGCAAATTTGTCGTCAGTGTGTTTGTAATATGGCGTCTCGGCGCTAATATAAGAAAGGACTGCAATGTTTACTTACAATACATAGAATTGTTTTAAATAGGATGCAAACATTATCTTATTTAGGAATGATACATCAAGTAAGTATTTAAATCGTTTTAACTTTGCCAAACTTATCTTTCACCCACGTATATTTACATTGCAGGAGTTAGAGAAGAAATATTGTAGACCGGATTTATTATCAATTTCATAACATATAAGCGCCATTTAACACATGGGCATAGTTTGGAAGGACACCTTACATATTTTTAGCATTATACAAGGGAATATTAACCTAATCTAACCTAACCAAATGGACTTCCTATAAGGGTGCCAGGTCGGGTTTGGTTGATTTGTTTGTCCTCATTATTGGTTTAATGTTTCTATGTAAGGAAACAAAAATTGCCGATGAATGGATGTGGAGGACACATGGTAGTTATTTATACCGAAGACAAAATGTCAAGTAGTCTGAAACTCTTGATTCCTGCAATTAATTTGGTGTTTTTCTCGGGCCAGAGGAGAAATTGTCTTCAACAGATACAGTAACTAGTCAGAAAATTGGTGACTAGTATTACACAACACGTTTGTTGAAATATATAGATGTTTACCTAATAGGAAAAAATGATAATGGAGGATTGTGAAATGTATACAGTTTTCCTTCAGAAGTGTGTGATCTTGTCATCAAAACTCCCCCAGGAAGGTTGAAGGCTTAAACCACTAATAATGACAGACAACACCAACCAACTAAACCAAACTTAATGATCTGGTGATTAGGTTAGGTTAGGTTAGGTTAGGTTAGGTTAGGTTCTATAACCAGTCATCGTAGCCCCACAAACTGTTGTCGTTTTATAAGAACACTTGCAGGGTACTACTGTAGGTTCACAAGTTATTATTTAATCCTCTCCCACCTAATACACATCCTTGAGATCCTTCTGGCACATAATGCGGTATAAATGGCAACTTTCTCCTTAAACTAAATGAAATACTTTATAGGAGTAAAGTGGAGATGGAAGGTTAATCTGATTAGTGTTTTTTCCAGGTAAGTGAAAGATAACAGCCTCATAACACCTCACACTTCAGGTATGTCCAAGTCAGTTTTATATATCGGATTTAATTATTCTTGTACATGCTCAGGAATCTTGTGTCTCCGTTAACTGAGCAAGTCGGTGTTACCTCCCATGGTTACGATCCTCTACTCAATGGTGTTTGGCTGGGGTCCTGGTATATAGTAATAACTATTAATAGCGGAGAGTTAACAATAAGGCTCAGTGAGTGGGGTATTGTGGTGTAATAAGGCTCAGTGAGTGGGGTATTGTGGTGTAATAAGGCTCAGTGAGTGGGGTATTGTGGTGTAATAAGGCTCAGTGAGTGGGGTATTGTGGTATAATAAGGCTCAGTGAGTGGGGTATTGTGGTGTAATAAGGCTCAGTGAGTGGGGTATTGTGGTGTAATAAGGCTCAGTGAGTGGGGTATTGTGGTGTAATAAGGCTCAGTGAGTGGGGTAATATAAGATAATAACTGAGTGGGATATTGTAATAAGGTAAAAAAATGGGATAAATCAATCACTAAATGCAGTATTTATTAGTTTATTGAGTTCGTTAGTGAAGATAAATAAACCTTGTTATTTATTTACCACAATATGTAGAAAAACAGGCATACGATATCAGTCAATATTTGTATCATTACAAGGATGAATCTGTACCTCAATCACTTTGTGCGATAATGAACAAAATTTATATATATCATAAAAAAGGTGTGATTAGTAAAATAACTACTTGGATTCTTTCAAAAGCTAATGGTTTTTATGGTATAGGTAAAATATACCACAAAAAAGGGTGTTATCAATAAATATCTAAGTTTAAGACACTGTTACAAGCAGCTGTCCCCACCAGTGTGTGTGTGTGTGTGTTATATATACTGAGTTTAAGGTTTTTTTAATTTTGTCTTATATATATACATTAAATCCCAGTGAAATAATCCTCACAAATGTGTTAACGTAAAGACCTTCTTTCGTTTCTTCAGTGTCGTGTCAGTTATTTAGTTTTTTTCGTATTCATGTATGAAAGAGCAACTCTATCTAGCGTCATTAGATCTACTACCCAAAACAGAGCGGTTACAACTACACGACGAGGGACACTCTTGAGAATCGATTCCAGCAGTGAAAGTGAAAGGCGCTGTAATGCCGTGTATAATTAATTACCTTTTTCGTTACAGATTGTGTCAAAGTTACACTGATATTATTTAACTAGAGTAAAAGTCTTACTACATTGTTCAACTGTCTTTATAGCAACATCACACCACATCGACCAGTCCGTCTACAAACACACAATAGGGTTTTACCTTTTATTGAGAAGATTATATAAAATATGTTTCTGGCTAAATAATACTGGTGTCTGTTTCTTTACACAATAATACAATTTGGTGAGTATTTGTTTGTCGTAATTCGCATTGTATTAAATTTCTATAGGTAATACACACGCCACTGTATATATGTGTACCTTTAAACTATTTCTATACTCGATACTATTTACGAAGGCATGCTCTTTTACCCGTATAACCTTTGACCTTCCCTTATACCACCTCATCTCTTCTAGTCAGTTATTCTTCCTATCTAACAGTCCCTCTTTCCTTCGGTACACCACTTGGTCTTTTCTTTCCATCTCCCTTTCTGTCAGTTTTTCTTATTTCCTGCCTCTCTTTCTCCCCCTTTCCTCTATTTTATTCACTCCTATCTTTCCACATAATTCAAACATTTCTCAAGCTATCCTTCACGACCTTCTCTCTTGTGTGTTTCAGTCTCTTCCACACTTGGGTTCGACTCGTGTGAGACTACTGACTCTACTCTCCCTCGTTTAATCATGGATACACATTAAGGCCTCACTGTTTTGTACAGTATCTTCCTGTTCATAATATTGTGATATTTTGTTATGTTTTGACTCACAGGGCTGTAGCTTTATGCTTTACCGTCTAGAAATGTATATATTTTAATCTTAAGTGTACTGTACAGTCAACTACTAAAGTCCTCAGTTCTCCTCTTCCCCCGATCCACGAACCCCGAGATTCAGACTGGTGAACCCAAAGGTCACAATTGGAGGTCAAAGTCACAGTAGATTAGCTATCCTGTTTGTTTCACCTGATGAAAACCCCCTAATTCTACCAGAAGGGTTAGGTTAGGTTAGGTTAGGTTGGGTTAGAAGACAATGATAAAGGAATGAAATAGAGGGGTAATCCTCAGGTAATGCCTTTCTCCTGTATTATTCATCCATGTCCCAGCCACACACTCTAAATCATCCAAGTCTTCCCTGACCTTCCTCTCTAGAACACAACAAAAGTCCCCAGATGTCTGCTAATTTCCTTTCTTTCCTTCTCTAAACAAAAGAAGAAGTCTAACTTGTTCCATCATTATTTATTTAATAGTATCATCATAATTTATCTATGGAACAAAATTGGAGGGACAATAGAACAAGACACTGATAAAGAATAAATTACTTCTAATACTAAGACTCCCGGGAGGTCTTATAGTTACCGCAGCTGATCACTTCTCTCACTAAGACTCCTAGGAGGTCTTTAAGTTACCTCAGCTGATCTGGATAACGACTGAGCAACAAATATTATCCTCCAGACCAACATTATTTACACTATTAGTCTTGATAAAGAATAAGGGAACAAGTACCTTCTTCCAAGACCTGCAATACTCATTAGTAATTCGCTTAAATTATGGAAAAAAATCTCGGCCGGGGTAGTTTGTATCCGGTCTCAGGTGTGTTCTATCATGCCACAGGCTTACAAGAGCGAGTTCAGTATTTACACGACTCCGAAACACATGTCTCTCACTTAACCTAATTATTGTCTAGAATTAAATAACATATATAATCGTTTCCTACATTTAGGTTTAAGACATAAATGGTTTAAGGTTTCTCTGGTACCATCATCAATAACTCACTTTAGGAAATCGCTGAGTAAATTGCATCACAGATATAAAGTGATATAGTTAATATTATTGTTGACTAAACGCTACAGTTGGATACAGTTGTCGGTAAGCAATGAAAAAAAATATTAAAGGGAACATCACTTTGTCCAGTAAATCTCAATGATGTCAATAAAGTGCGCCCCATCAGAGTGTGTGGGGTGTCTGTTTATGTTTCTTGCCAAATATGATCCCCAAGACATTGTTCACACTAACAAATTCACCAAACAGTGTCCACGCATCCTCAGTGAAGTTATTCCCACCATCACAAGATGGTCACGGGGACACATTAATATTCTTGGCAAGTTTGCAATGCGAGATGAATGTTGTCACTCCGCGTATAGTGTCGGGTTTTAAATATAACACAAAATTGTTCCATTTTTATAGGAAAAATGATTAAACTGTGTTTCTCCACGTGTGGGTGAGCCTCATGCCTCCACACTTCTTTTCAGCCATATAGACTCCTGGTTACTTTGTTAAGGTATCTTGAGGTCCTCTCCCATTAATGTAGTCATCCAGCACTTAGCCACATACGATTACATCAAGACAATGGTCCAGTAAACAATGTTGAAGACCACGAGCAGTCCCAAGACCAATACTCTGGCGCCCAGGATGATCTTCTCGTACAGAGGTCTGGTGCGTGCAGAGGCTGAGAGCGAACTCGGCGTCGATTGTGTCAAACACATGTCGATGATTCTCCACCACCTGTTGCTGGGCTGCTCGACTTCTGGTAATCCGATAATCTCCTCCACAGTCACCTTCTCTCCCTCTGAGGGGTGGACGGTGTTGGACGTCGACGACTTCTCGGAGGTCGCCGGCGAGAGAACGATCTTGGGCTTTGAGGTGGTTTTCTTAGGGGTGGGCTCCCACTCCCTCACTCGGTCGATCACAGTGTGGAGGACGATGATGATGAAGATGAAGAAGATGCTAGACAGCAGCCACACGTCCACCATTTTGAAGTAGGAAGTCTTGGGCAGCGAGGCAGAGGCCTGGAATGAGTCCATTAACACTTTACTCTTATTGTGCTGACCTGACCAGCAAGAGTCTTGTTTACTAAGGGAGTGTAATGATGTGTGAAGACAATAGTGTATACTGAACAGTACTGTACACACGTTATTAAAAATTTTAAGATGTTCGTAAAGACTAGAACTTGTCAGTCGCAGTAACAAAGTATTAATGCTGCACGACGCAGATAGTGGTGTTAGAGCAACCAACTCTCTCCTGAACACTTTCTCCTGAAAACACTCTCCTTAACACTCATGAACAATTTCCCCTTAAACGCTCTCCTGAAAACTCATGAACACTTTCTCCTGAATACTCTTTCCCGAACACACACTCTTGGACACTCTCTCCTGAACACACTCTCCTGAACACACTCTCCCGAACACACTCTCCTGAACACACTCACATCGTGTAAACGTCTCAACCTGAACTCAACTCAGGTGAGATGATTGCGTTAACGTCTTGTGTATGGCAAGGTGTGGTACCTCTGACTTGAAAAAAATAGTTTGGTGTCAACCGAATAAAATATCAAAAGTAGCGTCCCCGTAGTGAAGGTGCTAAGGTCAGGTCAGGTCAGGTCAGGTCAACACAGTCTGAATTCTACGATTGTCATCATATTACTTAAGGAATTTTTGTCTCATTGAGGAACGTAGAGAGTCTTTACCTGAGTGAAGAGTGTGGCCATGACCAGGAGGGAGGTGAGCGAGGCGAGGACGCGGACCTGGAAGTTGAAGGGCGTGAAGTAGAGAGTGAGGTAACTGATGACCAGCAGCAGCAGCGACGGGATGAAGACGTTCATGATGATGAAACCAGACCGTCGCAGCAGCTGTACTGTAAACAACAAGAATATTATGTCTGAACTGAACTACACACACACGTAACTCTATTTTCCTAAGATTATTGAGTATTTTATCGAGGTTCGGATAGTGAAGGAAGTTAAAAGCATTATTTAAGCGTGTAAATATTTCAAACTAAAGTTATTAAAGTCCTCCATTCACCTCTCTCTGAACAATAAACTCAAGAGAATCAGACTCATAAATTTCGAAGCAAATACTCGAGAGCCGCGGGAGAAAATACGTCTCCATAGTTTCGTTTGTCTAATTAAATAACAAAATTGAGTGAGCAGTATAATGTCTTAAACGTGTACTGTATATACTTGTACTGTTGGGTGTATCTGCGTGTCGGGTTCAGTAACTCAGGTTAACTAAGCGAGTCATGTGTTATGAGTGACATTAATCGCCCTTGAGTACGATTACTTAACCTCCTTCAGTACTATGACTTAACCCCCTTGAGTACTATGAATTAACCCCCTTGAGTACTAGGATTTAACCCCCTTGAGTACTAGGATTTAACCCCCTTGAGTACGATTACTTAATCTCCTTGAGTACTGAGACTTAACCCCTTATAAGGGAACCCACCCTTAGGATAATTCCACCAAAGCAATAATGGTGTACTCACGCTTAACGAACATGACCGCGAAGTCCCTGTCGTTGTGGAAGACAAGGTCGACGTCACCCACGAAGTACTCGACCAGCTGCGGGTTGCCCTCGTACATAGCCTTGGTGCCCGATGCATCGAACACCAGCAGACGAGACGACGCGGACAACATCGTCAGCTCCATGTGGCAGAACTGTCCGGGGCCAGAGAGAACATATAGGTCAGGTGGGTGTATAAGTCGGCCATAAGGAACACTCACTGTCAAGATGTTGCCCTAAGACGGCTATAAAAGACTTTGTCTTTAGATGGGGTGGGAGTGGGTGTGGGTTTAGAGGGTGGGGATGGGTTTTGGGGTGGTGTGTGTGTGTGTGTGTGTGTGTGTGTGTGTGTGTGTGTGTCAGTTAGTCAGCACCGCAGCTCTAACACCAGAAACTTTGAAAGCATACTAAGGGGTCCCTGGGGGTGTGCACCACGGAATTAGCTTTGAAATTTGTCCCAAAGGAAAAATAAATAAGAGAAAGAATGCCGGCAGCCATACAGTATAAGAACACCTGACTCCCCAGATACCGTAGTGTATAAGGTAACATCGTTGTGTCACGTTACCGGACTCCCCAGATACCGTAGTGTATAAGGTAACATCGTTGTGTCACGTTACCGGACTCCCCAGATACCGTAGTGTGTAACATCGTTGTGTCGTTACCGGAGATACCCACGTTAGACTACCGTAACAGTGTATATAGTGTAACATCGTTGTGTCACGTTACCGGACTCCCCAGATACCGTAGTGTATTAGGTAACATCGTTGTGTCACGTTACCGGACTCCCCAGATACCGTAGTGTATAAGGTAACATCGTTGTGTCACGTTACCGGACTCCCCAGATACCGTAGTGTATTAGGTAACATCGTTGTGTCACGTTACCGGACTCCCCAGATACCGTAGTGTATTAGGTAACATCGTTGTGTCACGTTACCGGACTCCCCAGATACCGTAGTGTATTAGGTAACATCGTTGTGTCACGTTACGGACTCCCCAGACACGGGTAACATCGGACTCCCCAGATACCGTAGTGTATTAGGTAACATCGTTGTGTCACGTTACCGGACTCCCCAGATACCGTAGTGTATTAGGTAACATCGTTGTGTCACGTTACGGACTCCCCAGATACCGTAGTGTATATTAGGTAACATCGTTGTGTCACGTTACCGGACTCCCCAGATACCGTAGTGTATTAGGTAACATCGTTGTGTCACGTTACCGGACTCCCCAGATACCGTAGTGTATTAGGTAACATCGTTGTGTCACGTTACCGGACTCCCCAGATACCGTAGTGTATTAGGTAACATCGTTGTGTCACGTTACCGGACTCCCCAGATACCGTAGTGTATTAGGTAACATCGTTGTGTCACGTTTCTCGGGTATAAAAGACATTCACCTACTGGCTGGACGGAGTAAATAAAAGCCTCATACTTCCTCCTCCATCGTCAATGTCACTTGCTAGGCGTTCGGGGTTGAATGTAAGAACGAGAAACAGTACAGAACTTTAGCGTTACTTTCATGTTAGTGTTTTGGTTACCCACAAGGCTGAGGTCGTCACTAACAGGTGTAAGGTTGCAGCAAAGGGAGACCCGGTGGGCTGGCTGACTGGCCAAACTGTGAGCCCCACACCACGCTCCTCCCTATACAGATCCAAGACGAAGATTTTGAGCGAAGAATCAAAGCAGGTGCCTCGATGAAGTCAATTCTCTCGTCTTTAAGGGGCAACTATTGATCTTGGGGCCCAACACACGTTTGTTAGTTGTCGCCTATGAGGTACTGTACTGTACTGTACTGTACTGACTTCGGGTAGTCGCTGTTTTATTTAGTTATAAATTTGTTTAATTCGACCTTGAAAAACCTACCGTATAAAAAGTACTTTCCATTTTTGTTGTGTAATTAACGTAAATGTTTTCTGAAAAGAAAAATAAATAATAATAAAATAAGACTTATCTTTTTTGCTACAAAAACCTGAACTGTTTTCCCTCCACAACAGCAAAACGAAAAAGATAAAATGAGCATCAGTGAGAAGACTAACTCCACCTCACTTACCATTTGTTACCTGGTGTCCGGGGAACGATAAATGTTGGAGGCATTCATCTCTCTCTCTCCCTTTTGAAATGGTTAAATTCTATGAAAAAAAAAATTATATTATATATTTTTTTTTAATTAGGAACTCAAATAAGTTTTTTGTCATTAAAATCCCCAAGTGATAGAATGAACGGGTGTTTATTTGGGACAGCAGAGGCGGACCATTAGGGAGATTCCAGCACTTTTATTACGAGCTGTTAGGCTCTCAACCCTCCTGTAGGCACAATAAAGCTTACAATGCACTCAACTACTAAAGTCCTGACACCTCTCACCCCGAACCCGAACCATGAACCCCCGAGAGATTCAGACTCGTGAACCCGACGCAGTAGACTGATACATTATTCTGTCCATAAATGCTTCGGATTCATGAGTCAAAATCTCTCGGGGTTCAGGAGAGGTAAACTTTACTGGGTGTTATCATGCCTTTATTGTGTTGTGAAGGCTTTAATGATCTGGTTGTCAATATTCACGCCTGTTTTAAGCTGATGTAATGAGTTTTATTAATTGTTTTTATTTTTTTTGCTTCATATTATTATTATTATTGTTCTTGTTGTTGTTGTTTGTTTTTGTTTTCTTGTTGTTGTTGTTGTTATTATTATCAATCTTATTAATATAAATGTTATTGTTTGGAAGTGAGAGTATGGGATAGGCTTTAGTGTAGAGGTGAGGGGGAGATGGTTGTGGTGAGAGAGAGACTGAATCCCCTTTCATCAATCACCCTGACAGTCGACTAGTTCCGCCTTTAATGACCAAACAGTTTAATATACAGTTTAACAGTCAAGTCTCGAGGGCTGGCTGGTGCAAACTCCCCTTGTTGGGTCGGGTTGGGTCGGGTTGGGTTCGGTTAGGTCGGGTTGGGTTGGGTTAGGTCGGGTTGGGTTTGGTCGGGTTGGGTTGGGTTTGGTTGGGTTGGGGGTTGGGAGGTTGGGTTGGGTTGGGTGGGTCGGGTCGGGTCAGGTCGGGTTGGGTTGGGTCGGGTCGGGGTTGGGTTGGGTTGGGTTGGGTTGGGTTGGGTGGGTTGGGTTCGGTCAGGTTGGGTTGGGGGTCGGGTTGGGTTGGGTTGGGTTGGGTTGGGTTGGGTTGGGTCGGGTTGGGTTGGGTTGGGTTGCATTAGGTTGGAAAGATGATAATGACAAAAGAATGAAATAGAACAATGAAAGAACGGAATAAAGAAAGAGAGAAAGAAAGAATAAGTGTTAAATTTGTCACGTTTTCTCTAAGTGTCGGAAATTGTGTTTCATGGAGGGACGAAAAGAAGCTTTTGTTGGTATAACTGAAGACTTAACCAACGACGAGAGAGAGAGAGAGAGAGAGAGAGAGAGAGAGAGAGGCAGGCGACTGAATAGGGAAGGAGACAGAGCATAGAGAAATAGAGCCTGGGATATATATATATAGAGAGATAGAGATACGGACTGAGAGAGAGATAAAAAATAAAATAATATCGCTAGACGCACGAACAATTCCAGCGCTCGATCCTCCCAGCTAACAACTCTCAGATTTTAAAGAAACACTCGTAAAAATATACAGTTTTGTCTCTTTAAAATAACAACTGGAGAATATATGGGGGGGAAAACGTGGCTTTATTCATTCTGGGGAAGAAAAATTGGGGGAAATACCTGTATGTCAATGGGAAAAATACAGGAAAATATAAGAACATTTAGCTTTTTTTTAAGGCAAGGGATAAAAAATTTCATTATTAATGGATTCCAGGGAAGATTATGTGGGATAATGGTACTATTATTTTTTATTTCATGGAAAGAAGATATGAGAAAGGTGTATCTTCTTTAATGCTGGAGAGGAAAGCTATGGGGAAAATACTGTTGAGAAATGCTGAGAAAAAAAGCGGTATACATGTGTGTAAGGTTATGGAGATGGTTGACATTTTAGGAGTGAGGCGGAGAACTGCTATCAGGCACGTCACTCTTCCTGCTGCTGCTTCAATTTGGCTATTAAACGCTTGCGGGAGGGTGCGGGAAAGTGCGGGAGGCTTCTGGGAGGGCGTGTAAGGGTGCGGGAAGCTGCGGCAGGTAAGACGGCGCGTGGGGATGGCCCTGGGGGAGGAGGAGGGAGGTGGCGGCAGGTGCGCAGCGGAAGGGAGGTGAGGCTGCCACACCAGGCCAGGCCCCGCCCACCAAGGTGCCCACCGATCAATACCCATCATAACACTCACTACCTCGCTGTATTAATGGTGCCTGGAGCCTCATAGGTCGTCAGGGGAAGGAGGCACATGAGAGAGGCTGCTGCTGTGTTCAAGGTCTTGATATTACTCCTAGAGAACCTCTTATACGTGCTCTCATAGGACCATATATACTCATAAACGTACACACACACCCACCACACACACACACCTACCACACACGCGCGCACACACACACCTACCACACACGCGCACACACACGTACGTATAAATCAGCGTCGTGGAGGGATCGTAGTGGTCATAAAGTCAATAATACAAATATAAAAAGATCTGGAATAGCCTTTTACTGCCTCTGCTCCTTACGGTAATACAACATCATGTATCGTGAGTGACAGCGAGAGCAACAAACACTGTTATCCTGAAGGCTTTATTGATGCAGGGGAGTGCTGATAGGCCTATATGTATTTGTCTGAACATGAGGTCGCTCACTGTTTTGTGTGGACCATGTACACATATCCGGATGACCTTCACACGAGCCCCTGACACACGTGTTCTACTCAGTAACACGATCACTCAGCCAATGTTGTTTACACAGGACAAGAACCGATCAACTTTGAAATGATTTGTTCAGGATGAGATTCCCGGGTCTAGTGTTGTCTCATTTGACGATAAAGATTTTTAGAAACCTTCCTATAAACTGTAACTCCAGCATAAAGACTTTCCTGAAGTATCGAGCTATCAAACCTCTGGACGCCTTTGAAAAATAAACCAATGACTCAGAGGTCCCTTTCCTCCCATAGGTATTCAGGAATAATGGCAGGGGGGAAACAGCGAGCCTACGTGGGGGATGATGCGTGTGTGAGGGGGGCGACCAGGAGGAAGAGGCATGTGTGTGGGGGGCCGACCAGGAGGAGGAGGCGTGTGTGGGGGGCCTAACAGGAGGAGGAGGAGGCGTGTGTGGGGGGAGGGGAGGTTAAGAGGAGGAGGTGTGTGTGTGTGCTAGGCCTTGGCGATCAATATTTTCCTTGTGTATTTGATGTGCTATATTCCCAAGGGTAAACAGAGTTGCCAAGGCTGAAACTCAGAGTATGGTTAGGTATTGTCGGGTCTGGCGACTCGTGGAGGAGGACCAGCCCGGCCCCGCCCCGCCCCGCCCAACACAGCTTCGTTTCCCCTCGCACGTGTTCTCCCATTCAGGACCTGCCTAACGCTACCTAGTTTAACCATCACTATTGTATCGCTACTATTGGTACAAATCGACAATATGAATCCGAATAAAAATATTAATGATTCTCTAATGCCTTTTTTTTATTGATCGAATATCATTTCCAGTCGTCTATGTAGTAAGCTGTTGTTGTTGTTGTTGTTTTGGTGTGAGAACATTGATCGTCAAGTGGGGAATGTTGGTGGTCGGCGGGAGAGGAGAGGAGAGGGGGCAACGAAGGAGATGGTGGTAAGGCGAGAGAGTAGAACACATGTAAGGGAAGAAGGAAGGAGGGTGGAGGGAAAGAGGTGGAGGATGGAGAGGGAACTGGAAGAGTGGGGAGAGTTAGAAGAGGAGGAAGGTGGAGAGGCGAGGGGAAGGGAAAGGGACGTAGAGAGAAAGAAGGTGGAGGGGGAAGGGGATGGGGGGGGGAGGTAGAGAGGGGTGGAGGGGGTAAAGTATAAATAATTACGAAGTACATTGGCTCCTAATGCCCATTTAGGACCTCCTCGCCGACCCATTCCTGCTTCTGGGCTGTGTCAGGAGTACCCATTAAAAATCTTTTGTAAAACTTTCTTTTTTGGTGTGTGTGAAAAATGGATGACTGCAGCTTACTTTGGGAGAGTGTGGGGTTCTTGGCACCTACACCAGCCGTTTTTGACTGCACAATTAACCTAACCTAATCTCTTCTACTCCCATCCCATCCTCCACAAACCCTATTCCTCCCGTCCCATCGTCCAAAAATCTTCCTTCTTCTATCCCATCCTCCACAATCCTTCCCTCTCCCATCCCATCTTCCACAGTCCTTCCCTCTCCCATCCCATCCTCCACACATCCTGCCTCCACCACAAGGAAGGTCTTTATATAAGGCAGAGTGAAGCATGACAACAATCTCTAGGCTTCAGGTCTCCCTGAAGCTGGCGTGGATCACTGTGGTCTTCCGGGAAAACAACAACAAAACACCAAAACTAAAAACAACAAAATAAAATAAGCAACAACACAACACAACAAAACAAAACAGCAAAATAAAACAATTAAGCAAAACAAAGTAAAAACAAATAAAACACTAAACAAGAAAAAAAAATCACACATCCTTAATATAGCTAAAGCTGCCTCCCGAAAGTTGGGAATGCTGTACAGATGCCATAGCTACTTCACTCCTGAACAGTTGCTCCAAGTTTATAAGGGATTCATTCGTCCTAACTTGGAGTACTGCTCTCATATCTGGGGTGGCTCTTCAACTGTTAGATAGAGTGGAATCAAAGGCATTTCGTCATATTAACTCTCCTCCTTTAGTCGTCAATCTCTCTTCCCTTTCTCTTCACCGCAATGTTGCTTCACTCTCTCTCTTTTACAGGTACTTTAACGGGCATTGTTCGGTGGATTTGGCATCCTGTGTACCGCCGACAAGGCAGTGAGCTCGTAACACTCGTCTTGCCCGCGGTGCCCACCGTTTCTCTGTGGATGTCGGTCACACTATGATAACCCGTTATAGTACCTCCTTCTTTCCTCACACAGCCAAACTGTGGAATGCTCTGCCTTCTTCTGTGTTTCCATACTTATACAATCTGCCTCACTTTAAAAAGCTGGTTTTCCGGCCTCTTCGTGGTGTAGATTAACACAGTATAACCTTTTTCTTCTCTATTTTCAATTTATTTCTGTTCTTCTTTTTTTCGCCCCCCAGGCCCCGTTGTGAGTCGTTTGACCTGTGCCCGGGTGGGCTAATTCCAGTAAACTATATATATATATATATATATATATATATATATATATATATATATATATATATATATATATATATATATATTTCATGTAAATCCACAATGAAAACCTGGATAAGATAAATCTAGGTATTGTTGTTTCCATTTTCCCGTGTGATTTTATCAAGATATATATATATATATATATATATATATATATATATATATATACACAAAAGGGTATCTTTTTAGGAAACTCGTCACCTGCTCATCAAAGGGACAGTAAGGCCCTCAACTGCTCATTAAGGCCATCACCTGCTCATTAAGGCCTCACCTGCTCATTAAGGCCCTCACCTGCTCATTAAGGCCTCACCTGGTCATTAAGGCCCTCACCTGGTCATTAAGGGCCCTCACCTGGCCATTACAACTGGTCCATCACCTGCTCATTAAGGCCATCACCTGCTCATTAAGGCCCTCACCTGGTCATTAAGGCCCTCAACTGCTCATTAAGGTCCCCACTTGCTCCACCTCACCTGCTCATTAAGGCCTCACCTATTAAGACCCTCACCTGCTCATTAAGCTCACACCTGCTCATTAAGACCCTCACCTGCTCTGCCCTCACCTGCTCATTAAGGACCTTCTCACCTGCTCATTAAGGCCCTCACCTGTTCATCAAATGGGACAAAGGCCCTCACCGTGTCATTAAGGCCCTCACCTGGTTAAGGCCCTCACCTGCTCATTAAGACTGCCTAAGGCCATTAAGGCCCCACCTGGTCTGCCCTCACCTGGTCATTAAGACCCACTGCTCAAGCTCATTAAGACCCTCACCTGCTCATTAAGACCCTCACCTGCTCATTAAGACCCTCACCTGCTCATTAAGGCCCTCACCTGGTCATTAAGGCCCTCACCTGGTCATTAAGGCCCTCAACTGCTCATTAAAACCCTCACCAGCTCATTAAGGCCCTCACCTGCTCATTAAGACTCTTAACTGCTCATTAAGACCCTCACGTGCTCATTAAGGCCCTCACCTGGTCATTAAGGCCCTCACCTGGTCATTAAGGCCCTCAACTGCTCATTAAAACCCTCACCAGCTCATTAAGGCCCTCACCTGCTCATTAAGGTCCTCACCTGCTCATCAAAGGGGTACATCTTGAGATCAAACTGACACTGGAAGGTGATGCTGTACTTCCTCCTCACACTGATGGGGTTCTCCAGGCCTGAGTACACCTCCACTGTAGGGACATCAACAAACAGATTACAGTCTTAAAGTTACAGCTAATACAGTTGATACAGTGATATGACAACCATGTATTAATAGCAATACCCATTGTAATGGTCATATTTTACCTGTTATTCTAAATATTTAAGAAAATTTTATATAAATGATGTGACTTTCAGCTAGAGTGAGATGCATTGAAACTCACAAAGTATTTATGTAACATGTAAACGAGAATGTCCTTCAGGTATTTGCTCACATTCCTCGGGTTGGGTGTCGTCTCCCAGGCTGGGTTTGCCCTGCATGTTGACAACCATGGTGGCCTGGTGGTCCGTCTGTGTGATGTGAATGCCCTTAGTGTTAGTAAAGTCCACCACCGGCACCCACACCTCCTTCATCTTGTCATATGGTACTCTGGATGGGAGGGAAGGGAGGAAGGAAGGAGAGTACATCTTACTGACATGAGGCATCGTCCCTGACAACAGATTGACAGTAATTTTGCTGTAGATGTCTCCGGAATTTTCATATCTATATTTTTTTCTCAAACTTATAATTATTAGTGAGTCTTAGTTATAGTGTGGGATCGAAAGGTGACACAAACTTTCCTTACGCGAATATTTAAGTGGGACAATAATAGTTGTACACACACCCAAAAAAAATCCCGACAGTCCTCTCTCCCGTCCATGAACCCTGAGACTCTTGAACCTGTGAATCCGAGACACCACCCAGTGTTTGGTCCATTGATGGCACACTATGTGGTGTCTTGGATTCGGAGGTTCATGGGTCTCAATGTTCATGGATGGGAAAAAGGACTGATATATATATATTTGGTGGGTTGTACGCCTTACCTGTTGAGTGTGTAGTCTTCATTTAGATTAAGAAAGTTGAGCCTCGCTTCTTGCCAAGTCATACTGACGTTGAGGTTGACGTGCATGTGCATAGAGGGCGTGTCTACATCAGCGCTCTCGATAATAACACCCAGAGTGACGGGCAAAGGTTCTGATGAATTGGTGTTGCTGTTAATAACTGGTGGCAGGTCAGGGCGGTAGATGGGAGGGAACCATACCAACTGACACCCGCTCTCATCACTCTTGTCCCGACAGTCGAACTTGAGGTCACATCGCTGGAAGAGAGGGATGCAGGAGGCGTCATCGCAGGAGAACTGGCCTGCGCTACATGGAGTTAGAAGGAATGTACGGGTCTTCTTCACGTCCTCACCACACATGGATTTTCTTAAAGTCCATTTTTGACGGCCAATTGGAACACCATTTACAGCATTGGTCAAACTCGCTACAGGTTGATTATTCCGCCAGTCCCACCAAAGCCACTCGCTCTTATCTTCACTTTGTTTTATTTGATAATCTGAGTAGCCTCGGAAAAGTACATTACCAGATTTCTCCTGAAGGGCAACTAAATGTGTGTTGCGTCGGTACCTCTCGCAGGCTCCCAGCAACACCCACACTGGCCGCCGCGGCACTGTACATACCACACATTGCAAGTCGTCGCAGCGGGTATCAGCTAAATTGAGAGGACCTTCCGCTACGGCACAATTTTCCAATTTGTCTCCATCTGGCTCATCCATGGCCCAGGAAGGACTAAGCTGTGTCATGTACTTCATATGCGTCCACACTCCCTCCTCTTTGTCATCTGTTATCCCCACCCAGAAGGGCTTACAGATCTTGTCTCCCTCACCGCGGTACCGATCCACCGCCGTCAGGAGGGTTTCATATTCTTCTTTCGACTGAGGTGTCGGGAGGGAGCCACCGAGACCTTCACACACGTGGAACGCAGAAGAAGCTGTGAAGTCGGTGAAGATAAAGTAATCATTCCCCGCCGCCTCCTGACAGAGATCATCAGAAGACTCTTGAGACGTTGACACATCCCCAACAGATGTCCAGGGACCTTTCCAGGATATAACGTCTCCCTCCATATCAGTGGCACACTCGGCTACGGCAGCCACCTCCTGGGCCGTCAGAGCACGACTCCATATGTTGAGCTAAAATAGATAAACGGTGTTATGGTCCCATGTCTCAACAAATCGACTTGTTTACTAAATATCGAGACAAAAGGTAATTCATTAATTTACTAAAAAAATTATCTATACAGGTGTTATTCATTTATTCCAAAACATTATATAAGGACTGCCCGTGATCACCCACCTGAGAGAGCTGGCCACTGAAGCTATGGTAAACATTCCAGGCACCAATTTTAATCTTGTTTCCTGTAATAGGTTCTCTGAGGACGAACTCGTGATGGTCGTGCTCCTGTCCGTCCAGGTAGGAGACAGCGACCCCGTCCCCGTAGGTAACACACAGGTGGTGCCACGTCAGCGCTCGTAGTCTGGTCTTGAGGAAGTAATACCGACGAAACTTGAGCAGAGTTACCCGGATGTAGTTCAGGTTGACCTCTAATGAAGGAAAATTGAAATGGTTAGTGCTTTTTTAGATCAGGGTAACTGGACACTATGTTCATTTGTCTCTGTACACGCTTTGTAACGTCCAGACAAACCCCATCAGCTAGTGTTGCAATTAATCGAGAGGACAGGTTGGTGTTTGTTGCAAGATACAGCGTCCAGCAGTGACTGAGGAAACTTGACGCTGAGAAAGTTTTCCAACAGACACTAAAGGCTAAAACACCTTAATTTTGTGGTGCCTTGACCACAATTAGACGAAATTAATTTGAGGGAAAGTAGACAGATTGAAATATTTCTTCAGTTGGCCTTGTATGTCCGTCTGTAACTTTCTTGTGTCACGTGGCACCTTAGTGATACAGTGCCATCAGACAATAAGACTCTTTCATCATATAATACTCCCCTCTTACTTTAATAATCCCAAAACATATAATATTCTATCATTACAGTAAATAACTTCACTACAATACGTATTATGTTTGGTAGAGCCGAGATAATCCTGTGAGTAATTTTGCTGTTCAACTCCCTCCTCTAAAAAGGTAAAAGTTAAGGTCAAGCTTTGTATTAAATTTCAACTTGCTGTTACTCGTTACCTGTTGAAAATACACACACACACACACACACACACACGCATCTTCCCAAACAAGTTTCACAGACATAACATTACTCACACACACAACACAAACCTCCTCGGCCCACCCACCCATACCTTTACCTACCTGCCTGTATAGTGTGCACCGCCGGGTTTGTTGATTCATTGGAAACTTGTAGGAAGCCGGACACCTCCCACAGGAAGTAGAACCTTAACCTGACGCAGAAGGAGAGGGCGTCCAGAGGCTTGATAGAGAGTTTCTCGGCGTACATTAAGTGGCTGTCAGATTGCTCCCCGCTGGCTTGGAATTCATACACCTGGACCGAACAGCAGC